GAATGTTTTGGCGCAAACGCTGTTGGCCGCAAAACTCGTTTCCAATCTGGATTAAGGGTCGTTACCTCTTCTTTCCTATTAAAATTGTTGTCATGTTTAAAGCTCGCAATGGCCTCTCTGGCTAGTCTCGGGTAATACCGTTGGAATTGGTGCAAAATGTCCACTTGTGTGTGTGTTTGTCCTAATCTGCAACTTCTTTTATGCTCCGTGATCCTAGTGTTTATACTACGTTTTGTGGTGCCGATATATGCTGTGCCACAACTGCATGGAAATCTGTAGACTCCTGGTGCTGATAAAGGATCCCTTCTGTCCTTGGCCGATCTCAAAGTCTGTTGCATTGTTCGAGTTGGTTTAAAAACTGTTCTGACTTTGTGTTTCTCTATTATCCTGCCGATCATGTCCGTGACTCCATGTATGTATGGGAGGCAAGCCCACCCCTTACGCTCATCATGTGTGTTTGTTTTCTCCAGACGAGCTCCACTGTTTCTTCGTCGAATTGTTCGATTAAACGCGTTCTTGCTGTATCCATTCCAACCAAAGACCCTTTCTAGGTGTTTCATTTCTCTGAACGAAACGCCAGGAAGAAATTCTCATGAACCCCGGCTTCAAAGCCCCGAAAACATTTCTAAATGTGATTTGACCGGCCGTGAAAGCCTTCATAGTCTGATAAAAGTTGGTTGTTTCCACTTTACCACACAAACAATCGAAAATATTGGAATTGCATTAAATTAAATTAAACCTGAAGTTTAACACTTTTAGCTATACGAGCTGGTGATTATCGGTATTTCGATCAAGTGGATAAAGACATTGATATTCCACTGGTACCTCCTAGAGACATTGATGAAGAAGAGTACGACTCTTACGACCCGATGCCTTTTGGCGAGGTAAAAACTACGGAAATAAATGATTGCACTATATTTTTTGTGGGTTTTGTGGGATTTTGGGCTACTTTTATTCACAAACATGGCCACCGTACTGGAAGTAACAGAAATAAGGCACCGAAGAAAAACAGCTTTACGAAACAAGGTAGGGAAATTGGCTTATTTGGAAATACTAGACAAGTTGGTCATTGGTTTACATTGAAGTGCATTTCACATCAAAATACGTCGATAGAAAGTTAATAAATTGAAAATTCAGGCAAACAAATCGTACCCGCGTTAGCAAGGTTACATCTGAATTGCGTCGATTTTCAAAAAATGATCATTTTCAAATACCTAATGCCTTTACTAGATAAATATTTGTATTCAGCTAAACGCTCTTTTGCAAAATTAGAAATCTGAAAATTTGTAAAACTTCATCCAAAAAACCGATATAAATTCGCATCAGTATAAGTTTTTGAATATCAGTTTTTGAATATCAATTGAATCAGTTGAAGAATATTTATTAGTAAACCAGTAGGTAGTTGGAAGGTCCCAACAAATCTCCAGTAAAAGACAATGTGAAAATTAATCAGCGAAAATAAATTGCAGGCACAAGGGAAGCCGACAATCAAAACTAGTAAGCCCGGTAATAAAGGCGACGATCTTGAAACTGGTTGGTAACATTTGCAATCCTGTTTTGCATAAACCCTATCAAAATTTGGGGACTTTACTTAGAAAGTGATTGTAGGCTTATCGTCAGCCCGAAAAGCTCTGGATGTTATTAAATTTCTATGGGGCGCTTTTGAGAGTGTTATTGTTAGTGTAAATGGAGTCATGGATCGTGCCACAAGAAACTTTCGGCACATACTAATGGAGATTAATAAAGACATAGTCACTCTTAAGGTTTCTACTTAAGACTTAAAGTGAACTGCCTGTATGAGGGCCGAAAATATTAAATTTTAGGAGCAAACTAATTATAAGGCGGGAGTGCGTGTGGGCTCAAATAAAATCTGGTATCCCACAGGGAGTTATAAAGAGATCCTCAATGAGCAGTAAGTTCAATTTGATTTCAATGATCTGGAAGATTTCATATGATTTTGTTGTATTTCATACGGCAAAAAGGAGCGAGATCTCGAGCACTATTCCATCTACATAAAGTTTTTTCTGGCCTCATGGCATTTATTTATGGCGCAGTCGGAATGGTTTTGTGCTCATTATACTCTATCAAACCCTGAAAGGCAATCTGATATCCCTGCCTATGCTGTTGATGACTTTCTGCTGGGGAGCATTGACTGTTCCCAGACCCACCGAAACTTTTTGGGGCGTAAATATTGCCTGTGGCTTGGTAAGGAGTTTTGAAGATTAACATTTGAAAGTTTTAAAGAAGAGTTTCATATGATAGTGCTTATAAAGAATTTCTTCGATATGGAAATTACGCCTTGGAAGAAAAACGACAAGCTCTACAGTAACTTCTTTCCTCCTGTTCTGATCGGGTTATACAACACAATTAAATTTCTTAATATTATGCTGCTGTTTAGTCTGTTTTTCCACCGGTAAATAAGTGGGTTGTTGATATTCTTAGGCAGTTAATCATCACGGAAGAATTTTAGAATCGTCCTTCGTAAACTGGGGCTCTAGAAGCCCTTCGACTATCGCACTAGTTCGCTTTTATCCGATGGGGATTATTATTGTAAGGATGGAGCGTTGGTTGCTGCAACCTCGTAAGTATTGACTTTGTGTAAAGTTCGGGGGTTTATTGTTTTTAAATTATTATTTTTAATTTAAAAAAAATTGCTCCTAGAGGGCGATTTTGCGCGTATTTTTCAATAATTTCTTGTATTTTTAAAGACAAATCTTCCATTTGCTCGACTCATCGATAGCTCTTTCCTCGGCCACCTGAACTGGTTATTTCTATTCTAAGCAAATTCCCAGTTGATTTATTAACTTTGTGTTTTTCTTTCCTGACTCTTTAACTGCTGCATTATTTCAAAAAGTGAGCGTTTTATTCACAAATGAGCAATTTGTAATTGTATTTGTGTTGGATTTTTGCAAAGAAACGTCAAAGCAAATTAAATGTTTAAAATTTATCAACGCGAAAACGAGTCAAAGGAGTTAGGAGGAGGAGAATAGTTCACTAAATGTGTCTTCTTAAGCAGTTGCAAATTATGAAAAAAATTAATGATTTTAGTCATTTGTTTTTTTTTAATAATAAACTTACTCAGAAAAATACTACTAAGTTTTTACTCTGAAACTTGAACAATCAGTTATTTTGTAGCGCAAGCAGCCAGCAGAACCAGCAAGTTCTTTCAGTTGCAAGCCTGCCTGTTTCCATGGGAGATTATTTCCCAAGATCTCTTCTTCATGGGTGAGCTTATACTGCGTCTAGCTATAAAATATTGCTTTTCGTACATGCAATTTTCCAGAGTATTCAAGTATGCTGAAGGTTTTCGGCTCTACATTCAGCAGCTTCTTTATCCATCTCTTATCATACTCATCCATTATCTACACAGATTCCTGTGGACGAGTATCTGCCAATGTTTTTATGCGACCTGGTGAATTTATGTTTGCTGCTGTTCTTCTTCGGGAGCTTTAAGGTGATTTATTTAAATCGTAAAAGCTCATAGAGATTTTTCAATTTTCTCAAATTCAATTTCAGAGTAATTCAGATCAAATGGGCCTTTTGGAGTACGTCCAATTCAATCAAGTCCCCATTTCATTCATAATAGCTGTTCTTATTTACATGGGCTTTATGATGATTGATCGAGCCATCTATTTGCGACGGAATCGATTTGCCAAGCTAATTTATCATTTTATGTAGGTAATCGGGTACCATTTATGGTTTTTTTATCATGGATCCTCTGATGGCCAACGGGTACTCAGGCACTTATTACTGGCTTGCATCAAAATTCATTTTTTTTTCTACTTTTAGGAGATTTAGAAGCTCCCCAATTCTGCAGACTTTCTACGCGTTTAAATGCCTGTATTTCCTGTTCTCAGTTTACCAGATCAGAAATGGATATCCGACGCTCATTTCCTACTACTATTTGTGGCACGGGTATTCAATGGCTCACAGGTTTACATAAGTTATGTGACGCTTAAACCTCTAAACTGCCCGGACTATCATAATTTAAAGCTAACTTGCATTTTGTAACTTATATATACTTGCTAAACGCATAATTACAGTCAGTCAGAGTAGTCAGAGAAACCAGAGCTAAAGGAAGTATTGTATTTGTGAAAATAAAGTTTTTACAAAGGAAAATTCAAAAGTCCAAAATATAACTCATACGAAGTTCATGCAATTTTCTGGTTTGAAGACTTTTTCAGATTTGGCGACAAGGTTTATCGGTTTATTCCATACTTTCTGGAAATTCGCTGTTTGTTGGACTGGATTTGCAGCGACAGTTACCTGGAACTTGCAGACTGGTTCAAAATGGAGGATGTCACCCAAAGCCTGTTTGATCGAAAGGTGTGACTGAAATTATACAATTGATGAAAACTTGCTAATTAAATTAAACGTGTTTAGTGCCAACAAGAGTCGGAGGCTAAATGTAACCGGCCTAGTGGTCAGCCCTACAATCGAACTACAAAACTACTAGTTGGAGAGCTTCTCTTTATGCTGCTGATTATGACTCTGATTTTCCCATTTTTTCTGTTCTCTCTGAGTTCCACCGTTGGCATTGCCACCCTCCCTCATACACTTAAACTGGCAATATACATGGGGCGTTCTCAACAAATATTCGAAGCTTATGTAACCAGAAGCGATTTAATTCAGTGAGATTTTTGAGCATTGACTCACAGCAGTTATTTAATTGAGGATTTTAGACTTTCAGATGAAGACTATTTGAACATATCGGCGACTTTTGATAACATTGAAGCGGCTGATACTATTTTCGATGCTTTTAAAGTGGAAGACATTGTGGTGGTGAAGTGGTCTCCACACAGCATGACCACTTGGGATATATCGCCTGGAAGCAAAGAGGAACTGCTTGAAGACTTGGAAAATGGTGGGTATGTTTGAAATTTTTGATTTAATTGACTACCAGAGTATCAATGTGTTTTAGAGGATCCTTTCACGTTTAGGCTAGAAATCCAGTACACTCATGTTGGTCACGGAGGGCAGCAATCTAATAGAGTATTCGCCCAAACCAGCGATTTAGCTCCGCTTCCTAATGCGGAAAGACAGAATTTGATCGATATTGTGAAGGCCAAAACCGATACTTCAACTTTGCGGTTGTTGCCCTTAATATTTCCAAAATTCCTCAAAATCGACAAAGAAGGCCGCCCAGAAGTTCTCAGTATGATGGAACACCTTGAAGGTGCGATCGATTAAATTCGATTAATCTTTTAAATACAAAAATGCCACAGGAAAAACGTGGCTGAAACTTTACATGAAATGTGMATAATTAGTACACCTATCGATCGATCGATCGAAGATGATTTAGCTTGGGAGTTCTTTGAAAAAAAAAATTAATTTTATTATATTCTTTTCCTTCCTAGGTTTCAGTCAAAGTGTGAAATAAAAATGTTCATATCATTTATTTCATATAACGTTTMGGCGAGACAACAGCGCCATCATCAGATCTATAATTTAACACAAACTCATAATTGGGAAACATTGGATTCTTTTTTTCTAAAAGAATCTAAGCGCAGTTGTTGAAACGTCATATGAAATAAATGATATGAAAATTTTTATTTCACACTTTGACTGAAACCTAGGAAAGAAAAGAATATAATAACAAGTACACGCAGTCAGGAAAATAAATCAAAATGAATTTTATGAAATTATTAATAGTTACCCGAATTATTCATGACAAGAATCAATCTTTGGACGGTGCTGATGATGACGACGTTCCACCAGATCCAAATAAGCTGCGCAATTTGCTACTTACTCTTCGTCGTTCTAAAGCTGCATGGTAAGTCATCGTTTAACTGTTTAACAGAAAGCTAACTTCGTGCTCATTGTTGTAAAATAAATTATTACAAAATAGGTCAATGCTTCTACATGCCTTCTTGGGTTGATTTTTTAGAATCTGCATGTTTTCTCTGCTTTAGAACGTCAGTTTTAAACCGGTTCTTTAAGAAACTTGCTATTTTTTGCACAGTCTCAATTTTAATAAAATCAGGCTTATAAATATAAAACTGTTTACTTAAAGTCTGGCATATTTAGTTCGGTGATAATTTTGTTCAATCTCTAAATTATGACTGTTTTAATTGCAATTGCAGGTGGCAATTAAGCGAAGAATGCACAATTTTGGATGATAACTATGTGTATTATTTAACGAATTTAGCTCACAACGATTGGGACTTCCTGGTATTATACCTGTTTAATGAAAGAGTATTTTCGAATGCTATGAATTTTATGACGCAAGGCGGGTAAGGCGCGATTATTACCAAAGTTACAAATAAATTATTATTCCATTTTTGTCCATCTCATAATCAGCGCGTAAAAGAGTAAAAAACGTTTTTAGTGCAAAACCGTCTAAAAATGTATTATTATTACCCATAAAATAGTTTAACTTGATTAAAACAGATTGCAAATTGAATGGATTTGATCACATATTTACCTAATTGATTTAATTAATATTCTTGTTAAATGACTGTTTTATTTCTAGGATAATGGGACTTTACCTCATCTACTTCTTGGTAGTTGTCAATATAATTAGGGGCTTCCGTGGAGACATTGAGGAAATTTCAATAAACGACTTGCCCAATTCTAGCAAAGTTTTACGGGTAAATGAGCGAATGTTTTGGAAACGCTTTTTTCTTGTATATATTTTGGTACATTTTGGTAGAAATGCATGGAAATCTACTTTGCGCGCGACATGAAAAACTATCATTTGGAACAAGAAATTTTTGAGGAAATTGTTTACATTATGCGATCAAGAGAGTTAATGATTAAGCTGTCTAGGTATGAGGATAACTATAATCCCACGTTCATCCTGCCAAAATAAATTTTAATGTAAAGAAAATCATAAAAAAACTGTTACTGTTAAATACAAAAAAAATGTATTTAAAATAAAATTGTAAATGCAAAGGTGTTTTTTAGGGTTGGGTTTGGTTGAACTCAGCTGAAAATTGATAGGAATTGTATAATTTTGTTTAAATATGTTGAGGGATATTGACTGTTTAAAGGTTTTAAGTGAAACAAATCCTATTGCAGTAAAATATTTTTATTAACATTCAAGAGAGAAAGCAATGCATTTGCTTTGAAGATGTCATAAAAACCGTTCTTTCAAACATTCAAAGAAAAAATATATACGTTAAACCAGAAGAAAAAAATTTGGACAAAATCTCAAGAAAGCTAACTATACCTACCTGTAAAAAAATAACAATTATTATATTTCAACATTAAAAAACTAGGACATGGAAAGCTTACTAACTATTTTCTTGGTCTCTAATGTAAGCGTAAATATATGAACCTTATCAATACGTTTAAGAATAATGAACATTAGATTTCGTTGGTAAATGAGATCACATTTTTTACACAAAAATGGATTCAGTCAATGCCATCTGTGAGATCATCCTCAAATATCCAGTATGTTTCCATGTCACCTTTACCCTGAAAAACAGGATTTTTTATGAGATATTCGCACTTTTTGTTAGGAATGTTTGTATTTATTGAGGTAATTTTAGTGTCTTTCCGTTGATAACTCGAGGACGGTCAAATCTGGTAATAGGTAGGTCTTTCTTTGGTCCACAATGTTGAATGGTATTTAGTTCCATTTCGTTTAGAAAATTGATTATTTAGGCTTTTGAGTGATGGGAGCACATTTTGTCAGAAGTTTGGTTTGTTTTGCGTCAGTTCTTTAAAATTAACAATAGCAATTTCCAATGGATCCAGACGCTTTGCTTAAATATTCATGTGATAATATCTCAAAATGGGTTTAAGTTTGTTTATATAAAAATTGGTTTTAGATGCAAAAATGATTTTCTTAATTTTTGTTCCGAAACTCTTCATTGCGGGAAAAATCATTCACATTTGAATTTTATTGTGCTTAATAGCTTTATAAAACATATTTATCTGAAGATTTACATTTTGTGACCCAAACATTTGGATTTCAAAGCAATTATCAATATCCATCAAAAAAACAGTAAAATTGTATGGAAGTTACAAAAAATTGGCTGCTTTCGAAAGGGAAAGGATTATTCTTCCAATACACATATCCTTAAAAAAATTTCATTTACACCTGAATATATCATATAAAAAAATTACATATATCTTACCTTCAATTTAACAACACCACGATTTCGGATGATATATTTGTCTTTCGGTAACAGTTTCTTAGTGGAATCTGATATATGAACCATTCCAGGCTGAAATGTGTCATAAAATCGTAACTTACTCCGTGGATGTTTTGACTTGAAAAATACAGAGAACTTTAAATTGCCCGTTTTTTTTTTGGGAAATCTAGTTGTAAAAATCGAAAACTGTTGTATTGTTTCACTTAAACTGTAACACGTTGATCCAGTTGAAATAATATTACACAAATCCAAAAAATAAAAAATATGTTTCTATAGATTTTTGCATTGTTTGGGAAGCTTTAGCTGAAAACCGAACATGGGATTTTGAGCAATTTTTCCGTTATTCGCCTTGCAAACAATGGCGAGATGAAAACACGCAGGTTCACTACTTATAACTCAAGAGCATAAAATCGGACTAATAGTTATTTGCTCGGGAGAAACAACTTAAAATTTAAATTTTGATTGCCCAAAAGGTAGCGGAGTTCTTTTGCATAATTAACAAGCTGCTGCATTACGCTTTACTTACCGAGCTAGTGGATTGCATCCTTGAAGCAGTATTAACAGTATCCCCAAAAAAGCAATATCGTGGAACTTTTATGCCCACCACACCTGCTACTACTGGTCCAGAATGAACCCCTGAAATGGCAATTTATAATTGAATTCTCCCGCTGGTTAAAATCATCACCTATCCTAACATCCACTTTGGTTCCGGAAGGAATCTGAAGCTGCTTAACATGACGAGTCATGCAAAGTGAGGCATCACAAACATTTCGTGCGTGAAGGGGCGTCTCTTCCGGAGCCCCACACACCGACATATAAATCTGCCCCACTGTTTCTACCTAGAAAATATATTAAACACCTAAAGGACTGAGTTTTTTCCATAAAACCCACATTTTATATGATATATTTGTTATCGGTTCCCGAGTGAACACTCTCTGAAATATTTATATGTAAATCTAGACCCAAAGAGCTTATCTATTAGCTGGAACATAGTCATTTATTGGCTAATAGTTCGAATTTATTGCCTCATAAATCCGGCAAGTTTACCTTATATAAGTTGAACGTATCCATTAGGGAATCGAAGCAGGAAAAGACGGCGTTCATTGTGCTGACCAGTTCCATCGCATCTTCAACTGTTGAAGAATTGAAGCCGACTAATTCGCAAAACATCACAGAAACTGAATCGAAGGTCTGGAAATCATCGTCATTAGCGCTCCTTTTTTAAGTTTCGAGTAGAAAAACACACCTGACAAGTGCTCAAAGGACTATTGCCAGCTCGAAGTTTCTCAGCAACTGGCTTGGGAATCATGGAGTATAAAAGATCATCTCCACGCTTCTTCCAAACTTCCAACAAGCTGAGATTCGTCTCCAACTCCGAGGCCCGTTGCTCAGCTTTATCGAACATCAGCTCCAGCCTGAATAAATTTATAAAGACTAAATAATTGGTAGTAAAAACAACTAACACTTCTTAAGATCCCAGTTGACCATATGGCAATATTAATTTTGTTAAATCTTGTTGCGAGCTGCTGCCGAGCAACTAAATGGAATTTTCCCATTTAATTTCCCAGCTACAAAAGTTGAGAGCAGCTTTAATGAATATAATTTTTCGAGAAAACCTAAAGGACAGCTTGCGTCTTTTCCCTTGTGGGTTACTTAATCTTATAAACGATTCCAGATCTGATACTTTTGACGAGGGTAAATCCTGTCAATCACGAATCGTGGCACGAAGTTCTGATTTGAATTGGTGTTTCATCCGGAATCAACGCATTTTCCGTTGTATCGGCAATATGTTATCAATCAAGGTTTTTGGGGGCTGAGAAGGGCTTTTAAATCAATTTGGGCAATATGGAAAAGGTGCATGCAATACAGGCTGAAATCTAATCGTTATAAGCGTTTTAGAGTTCGTGAGGGTGATTCGTTTTCTTATAAGCAGAGAGTTGCATGAAAACCCCACAAAACTCTAAAATGGTTTATCCGGTCAAAGTCCAGAATATTCTTTAATTTACAGTAAACTGTTTCTTTTGGTCAATGGCCTGCCTGGAAATAATTGTAAACTATTTTGAATCCAATAGATACCATACATTTTGTTACGTTCTCCCACTGATTTCATTTTTTTTCAAAAGTTAAATAGAAAAACTATACACTTTTCAAATGAGAATTTCATTCAGTTCAGTAACTGAGTTTAATAAAAGCAAAATATATAAATATTTGTCAGCCGTTTGATGGCAATTAATGTTGCAACAATCGGTTACGCAAACGCATAAATTCAACTTAAGCGTCTCAAAAAATAGATAGTACATTAAAGTTCAAATAAAAGTTATTGGATGAAAAGCTACTAAAGAATTAGTAGATTTAAATAGGACTTTAAAAAGAACTAGTTGGAATTTTTTATTTTTAAATTTGAATTTTGATATAAAATGATTAATCGGTTTAGATAAATTATCAAACCAAACAAGAAAAAGCCTAAAAGTTTCAAAAAATTTTCAATTTATTGCTGTCTTTTTAACTGCCTTGTTTCAGTAGTGAAACCTTTATGAAATAATTGCAAACATGAGTATCACATTAGTTAACAGGAATACTCTCAGTTTAATAAAGTTGCGGCTAGAAACACTTTCAAATAACCATCAGCAATAAATTCTGTGAAGCAATGTGATATTAAATTTCCAGCCCGGCATTCAAATAGCTTTTTTTAATAAATGCGGAAAAACGACATACTCGCCTTTTTTTTCTTTTATTCGCTGTAAAAACACGAGAAACACTCGCCTTGAATGACCTTCTTTATCAATATTCAGGAAAAATGGTTTGAAAGCAAAAAGGCATGAATATTTCGTTCAATGTTGTCCCAAGTTACGCAAAGTAAAATCCGATGACAATATTTCTTAAACCGATTTGCGGCTGGCTGTTGTAATCCCTAGGATTGGTAGCAACTGTATAATTAAAAATAAATTCGGTAAAATAGCACAAACAAACCAGTGCCGGCTACAGACCTTCGAAACAGTATAAAAGACAGAATTAATTTCAAGTATTTTTATTACCAAAAAGCCAAATACTACAAGCGATGTGCAATCCGCGCAAGTAAAGTCGATATCAATAGAATAATTTGCCTACTTACACTACCGCTGAATTATTATTTTTTCAACGATCGTGTTCTGTGCGCTCCTTTGAACAACCGCGCAACACTCAGCTTCCCCCTAGTCGGGATAAAACCAAGCCGCGAATATCGTGGAGATTTCGTTGCATTTAGTCCAGTGGCAACCGCGCTATTGAGTAACAGTAAATTCGGTTGTTTCTCGATATCGACTTTTACGCGACTTTTTTGCAAACAAGACTAAAAGTTTTCCAGAAATCGCCACTGATTGAAGCAATTTTTTCAAAAGAAAAAAACTTTTCAGAGAATACATATTTATTTATTTTTTTTCTACTTTTACATTTTTTCAGCTTTTTTTTCTCTCAGCGCAGTAAAAAAATGATAGTTGACCTACATTGACTATTTTAGAATGCAATGATAGTTGACCTACATTGACTATTTTAGAATGCATGTTTTGATAACAATATTTCAATTAATTTCTTACCATGTATGAAAAACCATTGAATAACAATTTAAAAATCTCTGTCTATTTCACTCACTTCTCAAGTATTTAATTTTTCTTCTTATCTTTTCCCCGGCACGTAATAAGTCAGTTGCCAACAGAAACGCTCGATCAGAATTAATTAATGAATCGCATTTTTCCACTGTTTTAAGCAATTGCTTTGTCGTCTTTTGTCTGTCGCTTTTAACATGACACAATCGCAATAAATGCGATATTAAATAATATACTTCACGTCGTCGAAAATAGCATTTTCGGCATCAATCAAGTTTCGAGAAAAGGAGATTTTAATGTTTAAAAATTGAGAGGATCCTCCTCCCCAAACCAGATTATTTACATCTATTTTCAAACAAGCGTGAAACAATAGCATCTACTGGGAGTCACCTTAACAAATCATATTATCACTAAGTCTAATTGGAAGTCAAAAAACCAGGAAAAATATAAGCATGCATAGTATAGAGTATGTACAATACAAAGGGTCTCATAAGGATACAAATTTTAATTCTGCATTATGCGGGTCGTTTTAACATTCGTGTAAAACGAGTAACTGAAAGCTGCATTTTGAAACTCATTTCTGCGAAACTAAAAGATAATTTAAATGTTTTTCTAGCTGATACAGAACAAAATTGGCTTCTGTTTTCTTGCTTCACACTTGCATTGTCTGCAGAGGTGTATGTTCCACCAATTTTTAAACATTTAATATCTGCTCCACAAAAAAAAGGAACGAATAATAATTTTTTGTATAGTTTTTCGACACTTTATCGTACGCCTCTTTGGTATTAATAGTAACCCGTGTATCCTCTAAAAAAATTTTTGAAAATGCAAATAAAAAGATTAATACATTGTTTACTTTCCTAAGGATTGTAGGAAAACGGCCATTTGAATACAGTGCGAAGCAAAAACAACCGAATTATCCCTTCGAATGTTCAACGTCAATCATTCTACATATTTACCATAATGTTAACTTACTTGGAATTATTCTGCCAACCAGCCAAAACCAATTCCTTGGCTAACCCATGAGGATTCATGTCATTCAGATATAGTCCCTGATCAGGCAATTCGCCTATATCATTAACTCTGCAAATAATAACAATTAGGATTAAGAGAAAGTTAATGATAATTAAGAGGTAATCGTTTAAGGAAAAAACAGTTTACAAGTTCATTAAACTAGGGGTAATGTATATATTTCTTGTTAGAAGCACAAACAAGTTTTGATGTTTGCTTGAACTCAGTTTATTTAAATTATTCAAACCTTAAGCGCTCTCATTACCTTTTCAGATTACTTCCCGTTTTTTGTTCCTTATTCTGTGATGAAAACATGCTGTATCAGTACATTGAGCCGAAAGTATGTTTACAAGACAACATTTAATTAATCTAGCTACTAATTAGCGCTTCACAGTTCAATTTCCAATAGGCACTTTTCATGGAACAGTAATTGCTCTAATGGAACAGGCATCAAAGAGACCTTTGTATTGGAAACACCGCAAGATGTGACTAAATTGTCCTTTTGTCTGGAAAACATCCTCATGTAACTTTCGGCAAGTTGAGAGTAGAAAAATTGGGTCGATAAACTCTCGTTTAGGTGGAAAAGTAAGCAAAGAAAGTGTGTCGGAATAAACGAGTCTGGGAAGTATTCTTTACACGTTCAATCCCAGTCACGATTCCCGCTTAATAAGAACGTATACAAACGCTGAAATACTGTACAGATAATACGAAGTTATTTGCTTTCAACCAAGTGATCTTCGGGCATTGTTTTGCCCATGTAATTGGAAAAGTTGAAATTTATTTTGAACCATTATAACGTTTCGTTTGTTTACTATAGTCCCCAATCAATCTAGCAAAACTCGTTCAGTTGTTCGAAACGTACAGAAAGTTTCCACCAGTTTTCCCAATGCAAGGAAAAACATCAAATAAAACGCGACCAAAATCCGCATTAATTGCTACTTACACCGGGCAGCAGAGGAAAATAATCCCGATCACATCGGTCAAATACAGCATTTGACCCTTCAGGAGAATATTTTTCACGCCAGGCTGGCTATCTCTGCGAGACGCGTAAGGCGATATGTTCTTTCCATCAACCTCAATGGAATCGCTCAAGTTTTCCACTTTTTCCACCAACAATTCCTTATTATCGGTATGTACTTTGGTGAATTCGGTGCGAAGCACTTCGATTTCGAACATTACTGATCTCAAATAGAAGCACTGAAATAATAGAAGATTTTTATTAACCAGAATTCAATTTACAGGGCGTCCGGGAAAACGTGGGCATGTTTTCGGTTAAGCTAACATGATAAGTTAGTTGGGCTTTTGAACGTGTGCCTTTACTCTAAAGGTGTTTGATGTTCACCCAGGTATACTACGTACCAGAAAGTATGCCCACATTTTCAGGATACCCTGTATACATTTTAATATAAACTGTGTTCCTAGGTTTCAGTCATTTATTTAGAATAGCACTATTTAGTCAATTTTCTTAAAAACGTTACGGTGTTTTTCCACCATCATCAGTTTGTTCGTGTAGGCAGTTGTTGCTACGCAACTATTGGCACTCAAACCTTTTTAAGAAAATTGACTAAATAGTGATATTCTAATTAAATGATTGAAACCCAGGAACATTGTGTATATTACAATTGGAAATACAGTCAGGAAAACTTACATGACCCTGTACAAAAAAAGCCTTCTGGAAAATGTGTGGGATTGAGATGTAACGAATGCTTTCAAAAATCGCCATTTTGCACAGTTGATTGCCTACTTTATTAGCCATCTATTTTCTATTTATAAAACCTTTTTGAGGGCGCACCGAAAAATATTTTCCAGATATTCTTTTAAATAACTTTGATCATTTCTTGCAAAAAGAAACTCAATTTAGCGGCTCAATCACTCGAAAATTTTCGTTTTAATCAACTTTAATGTTCCAGTTAAGTGGGTCAGTAAATACCTTTCCTAAAGCTGCTTTCGCTTTGTCCCATTTATAAACAAACAAATAAATACACTAAACAAACAAGCCTTATTGGGAAAACTTTAATAAAGACTCGATGGGGTTTTATCGAACGCATTTTTTCGGATTATGCTCCCGCTGTAAGACCGAATTTGAATGCTCAAGACGACAAAGACACATTTATAATCAATGTTTCAGACTTGCAATTTCCATTCAATTATACTCACATTTTTCCAAGTGAAGTTAATGCCTTTGGGTCTGCGTAAGCGGAAATATTTGGAGACTGGTTGTCCCAAAAGCTTATGGCCTCCTTCAGCCACCTGACATATCAATACCTAAGTGATTTAATTAATACCAATGCTTAATTTAGGATTAGTCTGATGGAGCTGGAAAGGTGAAAATTACGACAAAATGCATGCGTTTTATTGCCAAAATGCTAGTCTAAATGTGAATTTAACCAATAGACTTACAGAACCATGTTTACCAAGTAAATCAGCTTATTTAAGTCGGCGTTTGCCCCAAATCAGTTCTGGGAAATTAGATGATTACATCAAATTGATGGAAAAGTTCCTTTATAGTTAAGTTAATTCAAGGGGATGCTATATTTAGATAAAAAATGGAGATTTAGCTGAAAGATGGAAACAGGGGAGTAAATATTTTCATAAATAAGAACGTTTTTTTAAAAATAGTCCTCATTCCCAAAACATAAAGAGCAGCGGCTCAATAAAAACGGGAATCTTTCCAATTAAGTATTCATTCATGTTCACTATATTTGTGAAGTTTTTCATATTAATCCCGATTATTTTGAACAGTAAATTGCAAATAAAGAGCATTTTAAATGAGTGAATTAATGTGAGTATACCTAAAGGTTCCATGCAATGAAAAAAATAATAATGGAAAAAGTGGCAAGCAACGCTAAAAGCATTTTTCCATGATGTCAAGCCTCATACTTGGGTAAGTTTCTCTCCAATGGCCACAATGGACATGGCCGGGTCGAATAGTATGGCAAACGGGAAGAGAACTAAAAGTAAATCGCAATTAAATGGTGGCAGTTTACTTATAGTCCTCAAATGCGCCTCTTCTTTTACTTGTTTTGCCAAGATCTGCAACAAAGACATTACACGTTCCTTCATGTTCTCACTTAGGTAATTCGAGCTGGAAAACGCTGAAAATGTTCTTAAAAAGTGAAAGGTGGGGCAACTTGTTAAAGGAGGAATAATTGGATAAAAAAATATTGGGGACTGAAAATGTTTTGTTTTCTAAATTATTCTCCAAATAAGCACCCAGAAAGTCGGTTTGTTTTGGAAAACCCAAAAGCTGTCATTGATGTGCATTTTCATCTGGATATTAATTTAAATTGATAACATTATTTAAAATCTTTGAAACTTAAAGGGTTTAAAAGAGTTGAACTTTTGCGGCCACTGCTTGAAACTGGCGAATTTTTCGTTTCTACTTACATAGTGCGTATTATCAAAGTTCAATCGTAAAGTCACAATTACAATAGTTTTGCCATCAACTTCTCCAGTTTCGGTCGACAATACTTGGCATTCCAGTTCTAAGTTGTAGATTTCCGTTGCTATTTGATCCAACTGACCTAAAAAGCTGTAAGAGTAAAACTCCAAAAATTGCGGGTTTAACATTTTCCCCAAAATTAACTATTTGGAGGTAGAGCTTTGTGTGTGGGCAAGTCGCAGAAGAGATTTTTTTATTTTTTTTTTAGTTTTAGTTTAAAATTGGAAAGACATTGTCAAGTGGAACATTACTTAATTTTTTTGATCTTCATAGATAATGGAAGAGAAATTGGATTGCACGCAATAGATCGAAATGTAAATTATTCAAAACGTTAATCTCAAGAAGACGCACACATTTTCAGTAGTAATATTGGAGGATATTAAAAGATATTCTAAGCGCGGCAGAAGAAAACCAAAGTTTCTTAAGCCGCGGAAACTTTGGAACGAGTATTTGAATTATTGATTAAATAGACTGAGAATGAAAATGCGAGTAAAACGATGTAGAAATCTTGAAATAATTGGCAACATTACATTATCTAAAATAATAAGAGACGCTCCACTTTTCGAGATTGGTAAAAAATCTAGAAAACCGATTTAGTTAAGTTTGTAAAAGATGAAAACCATTACAGACTGAAAGTTTTTCAAATTTTTCAGTTTTCAACTTTTCTTTTTGCATACAACCATTTCCACCAAGGAAAAAAAACTTTTCCGAAATTTTCGAAGTTAAGCCATCACTACTAGCCACTCATTACGTATACCCGCCGATATTGCAGAATATATTAATTGGGCAAATTGGGATGAGAAATAAGACGTAAATCTGCAAATTGCTTAACTAAAATTGACCATAATTCAACCAATGAATCTCTAGTTCTTTCAGCCTGCTTCAATTTTTAAAATACTAATAAATCACCAAATACTCACCCATTAAATAATGCGTAAACCCCATTCTTTTGCTTCGATAAACCAGAATGCACCCATTGCGATCTACTTTCGTAAGGTACATCGATGGGCTTTTCATCTTAGGATAGGATAATCTAAACTGCGAATGAATGTTGTCGACACTTTCCAGAAAATCAGTAAAATTTCGTCCTGTGGCTTTAATCGTTGCATCATACCTATCAATTTTCCAAATAAAAAAAATGTTAACACTTTGGCAGAATTAAGTTAATGCAATTTGAAGAGAACCTTGAAAAGTTGAAGTAAATTTCCGACTACTAATTCAATTTTCAGCGGTTTAGGAACTTTGCGCGAACTGAGAGTTCCTATTTTATTGCAAACTTGAGCTTTAGACTGCCAGCGAAAATAAATGACTCGTTTACAGATTACAGACATTGGATACTAAATTATGGCATCGGCATTTGTGGCTGGAGGAGGTATTTGGGATCGAAAATTAGAGCCGGCTCTATACTGATTTTATAATTAAAAGTCCCATTTGGAGGGTTTGGATTGGGAGAAGCAAGATCAAAAGCTTTTGGAAATGTGTGGAGGGTTTGAAGAAGTACTAATAAAACTTAATTAGACGAATAAAAACAGCTAACTAAAGTATTATTCAAAGAGTTTGTCACTGTTCTTCAACCAAGTTCGGCAAAGTAATCTTCTTTCAGTCACTGAGCTTATGAATGTTTTTTTCTTGTATGCAGAGTATCATTTTTTCATTTTAAAGTTTTCTTGTAACTCTGATTGGAAAACGTATGTGGCTCTTTTGGAAAAGTAATTATCTGCTGTATATTTCGTTACTAGTCATTTGAGAATGAATTTTCCAACAATGCGAGCCTTTAACTTGGAACAACATAAGTCAAAGGGAGGTTCTTGGGAAATATGTTTGATCGCCTCCATGCAATGCAATTGAACTTTTAGAATCCATACAAATAAAGCTTTTAGAATCCATCGCAACTTTTCGTAGAAATAACAGAAACCGTCCAGATTTAATGACCACGCGGAAGTTGACTTTTGGGAGAAACATAAAATCTACAAATTATAACCAGATGAATATGTTCAATGAACGGCCACGAAAAATATATATAATCCAAAGAATAAACATGCGTTGATCCCAAATAGATGTATGAAAAAAATGTCGTTGACATATTTATAGAGGACAAGATTTTATTAATTTGGCTTAGATTATTAATAACACCTCAAAACGCTGATGACGAATGGAAAATCTAACTAGTGGAAATAATTGGCAACAAGCCAGGATCTGGGCATTCAAAGAGATTCCTGCACTAGTTTCATACAAAGAATACTTGTTGCATGCAAATTATTTGCTATTTCCACTTGATGTGCCACTACAATTAAACTATAAACAATTGTGTCTTTTATACAAGTTGTGTTGTCCACCTTAAAAAGTTCTGTTTCCTCACTTTTTAATTCCTTTGACAATATTTCATGCAATTTAATGTTAAAATATAGTTACAATGTGAACGTGTAAAGTATGTGTCTATTATTTTTTTCCTTTTGTTATATAAACTTTTTAAATAATATTTTCAATACTTTAAGTTCACACTTTAAGGTCACTGATGGAACAGTCGAACGATTCACTACTGCTCGCTAAATATTTACAACTTCTTAGCCTATCTAGGGTTAATAAATATGGGGTGATACATACCACCTTAATTTTGAAAGGCACAAAATAAAAAATATATTAATAATACATTGCTACTTTTTTCCCTCTAGTTCAACTTCACATTTACAAATTATTAAAAAACACGACAGTATTTTGCAATAAAAGCCAATTATTTTTATCGTGCTCGCAGGCAGTTAAATCATTAGGTGATAGTTCGCTAAAACACATATAAACGACCAATACAACACTTAATGGTCCCCACAACGCCATGTAATTAGCTCTAATTTGTACCCAACACGGGCTATTTTCAATTAATTGATTGCTGTCGTAAATCTATATTGATATTTTCTATTTTTACCGTCCTGCAGAAGGCGGAGAAATATAGTAAAATGCATATCGCTCTCATCATTGTGCTCAGATGATTTATGGCGCCAATTAGAAGCAAATTAACTCCCTTTTCAAAGAAAGTAATGACGGTTTAATAATTAACGGGTTTAAGCAAAGTAATTGAAAATTAGTTGACAATTATCTAGAAGAAATAAATAGATGCACATCAACAACATTGGATAATAAGAAATTTGCTGAAAACAGATAGTTTTTACCAACTACATTTGAAATTGGGGCGAATATACAGAGTGTCGCAAAAGTTATGGCCAGTTGAATGCAAGCATGACCTTTATATGCAGAGCCAAGAAAAACCAGATACCTACTCCTCACTCAGTAAATATTTGCGGACCAATTTACAAACGGAATAATGTCATATGTTTACTTCTTCCGTTCTTTGCTCTATCAGTCGCCTAAATAATCCATCAAAAAGGTCGCAAACGCCTATTTTATTAAGGGCTTTTATGGGCGCTGTTTATCTGTAGGTGTAAACTGTTAACCCTAAAAGGCTTTAAAGCTTATTCCTTATAAGAATATTGAACCTTAGAAGCTTTTACGTTGATTTACGAGTTTGGGTTCAAGAAACGGTTATTTCAACAGAAACGACTTTCGGTCTTTTAATGACCGAATAGGACAAATAAAAAGTGAAATCTATGTTTTCTGATCACTTTTCTCAAGACTTATTGATAAAAAGTTTGCTTAGTTAGACTAGGAAATCCAAGGTGCGACTCAGGCGTACTTATTTAAGTTTTCTTAAAGAGCAAGACATAAAAGAGATTAAAAGTGCGTGGTAACAAAAACTAATTATTTTATTGAATACTCATAACGCAGTTTTTTTTGGACAACCTGTATACATTTTTTCTTTATAAAAGATTTAAGTACAAAAATAAAATTAATCGCGATTTTTCTCTGTATAACGTAAACTATATCGAAGTTGAAAAATCTATTAAAATTTGAGTTCGGATAATTTCATTAATGAGCTAGCTAGCTATTCGTAACTGAAAAAATCCTGGAAACTCCCAGAAATTTCCTAATCAAGTGTTTTCCTCACTTAAAGCAGCCATTTTTTTCATTCTAGTAATGTTATGGGCCGCAGTTAGGATTTTTTGTTTTTTTCGTGGCGAATTTTTGACAAATTCGTGTTGTCCAAAGACCAATTGCTCCGATTTAGCAGCTGAAAAAATCCTGGAAACTCCCAGAAATTTTCTATTAAAATGGGGTTTTCCTCATTTATAACCGCAAATTTTCTCTCTCCAGTGATATTCTGGGCAGGATTTAGAGATTTTTGGTTTTTCTTTAACATTTTTTTTAAACTCGTCTAGCTTTTAAAAAACAACAGTGGTCAATCGTTTCCCCTTAGTAACAGAAAAAATCTTGGAAACTCCCAAAAATTTGATATTATGGACGGCAATCAGGAATTTTTGGTTTTTCCGTTGCGAATTTTTGAAAAAATCGTGTTGCCTAAATACCAATAGCTTCGATTTAGTGGTTGAAAAAATCCTGGAAATTTCCAGAAATTTCCTATTAAAATGGGGGTTTCCTCATTTAAATCCACAAATTTTATCTGTCGAGCGATATTCCGAGCAAGCTTGAGAGATTTTTGGTGTTTCCTTGACAATTTTTTTTAACTCGTCTATCTATACCAACAGCCGATCGCTTCCTTTTAGTAACCTTAGAAAATATCCTGGAAACTCCCAAAAATGTCCTAATCAAGTGAGTTTAGCCTCACTTAAATCAGTTGATTTTCTCTTTCGAGGGATGTTATGGCCGCATTCAGGATTTTTTTGTTTTTCCGTGGTGTTTATGTTTATCGCGTTGAGCCGGTGTGCACGTACCCTAACAGAAACAGCCTGAGTAATTAGACAAAAATAGACAATAATTCTAAATATTTAGGAGTATAATAATCCCATAAAAGGAAACGATTGGTTAAAAGTTTCAGAAAAATTACAAAATCTCAGTTGAGATTAAAAATAAATTAATTTAAAAAATATTGAACATGGTACATAGTACTAAGTATGGAGGTATCTGTTTCCATTTTTGCTCACGGATAAAATTTATTAAACATCGATTTTCAATTGTAATTCTAAGTGATGTGTTTTGTGTTGTTTTTCTAGTTTAGGATTGCCAATTTTTGCTGCTTGATGGTGCTTATTCAACCTTACAGTAGATACACTTTTCTAAAAAATTTGCGCATTTTATGTATTATTTAAATCGTTTTTTGAACACAGTTCATATCTACAGATTCCTCTCACCTTCTAGAGGATAATCCAAATCGCAAATCGTTCTAGAATAATAAACTTACTAACAAAATGTAAAACTTGACTAAAGTGTCAAAAGACAATTTAATTTATCAAGAACAGAAAGACTTGAACAATTGGATGAGGAAGTGAAAGTTAAAAAGCAATTTTTGTAATACTTGTTAGGAACACGCCTTACATTTTTAATATTATCGTTTAAACAATTGAAACTTACCCATAATTGCTGAAAAATCTTACAAAACAGTGCCCGAAGAAGTTCATGAAGCTGTCGTAAGATTTGGATGTGAGTTTGGCTAAAGCTGAGGCAATGTTGCTCATTATATGATCCGGATAAACCTGGTGAGTGTTAAAAACTGCATATTTACACTCAGCCATTACAAGTGCCTTTTGCCAGATTTCATCTCCGTATTCTTGCTGAAACGATTAAAACCCCCCAAAAAGTCAATGATTTTCAATTTTTGGTTTAACTGCATAGAAAAATTTCGCATACTTCGCATAAACTGTTGATATTAAGCAATCAACACCCTGCCAACAGAAAAAATAATTTAAACAGTAATTTAAATGCGCTTTGCGTTTTATTACCAGTACCATTGTAATAAAGTGTTCCTCTTAAGGTGGCGTGCCACTAATTTATCAATGAAAAGACATTATTACAGCTGTAAATTTCTCGCAAATAAGGAGATGGAACATAAACTGTGTCCTTTACGAAACAAAATGCCACCTTTTAAAGGATTGAGTAATATCACGCTAAATATTAATTTTCTAATCAACATCCTCAAATATTTCCTGCCTTTCGCTGATTAAACGGTCACGTGTTCATTTTGTATTTGCAAAATTGCTAATTGCGAGCAAAGTTTCCGCAAGTATTTTTAGTGCCTTTTAGCCCCATTCTACGTGATAAATTATTCTGGCTGTGGTTTGTGGCTGTTGCGAACTTTCCGAAAGTTTATGGTACTTTTTCCATCAACGCGATTCCGCAACGTTACTAATGGCTTACAAAAATGGCGGTTTCATTTTTAAACGCCGCAACTTTCACTGTTCACACATTTTGCTAAAAACCAAAATTAATTAATTTAAGGCCGATTGTGTTGAAGCCGCAGGGTTTCTTCAGAATTACACGGCAAACATCAACTGTTTAATGGTTATGTAAATCACATTAAAAGTAAACTTAATTCTCTTAAGTTTGCTTCCACCCTTATTTCCTTTAACCACTAGCGAGCGTTTTAGGGTAATGAATAGATGGAAATGATAAAACTAGGTATATTATGTAAGCTATATTTAGTTTGGGGTGGTGAAATTTCAATTTCGCTTGGATCTCAAATGTTATTAGTGGAATTATCTTCAGTTCAGTGTGTATAATTCACATAAATTAAGCTAGTTAGCGTTTTCGCTCAGACATGTTAAGCGAAAAGCTCTCCAGATGTTGAGGATTTATGTATGTATTAAATCTTTTCTATTATACCAAGTGGAAATTCGAGTAATTCGAGTAAATTATGCAAAAAGATACATTTGGATGTGCTTTGAATAAATGCAAAAATTTAATGCATAAGCCGAACATCAATGGTAAAATTTGCTTAAGAGTTGAGAGTGAGTTGCAACTTACCTGTACAAAATATTGCACACTTTCCAATAGCATTCCATACATGATT